GTCTCGTTCATCTTTTGTAAGCTTAGATCATACATATTAAAAGTATCCATTTAAATGATAAGTGATAGTTTTTAAATCAGATCCTCTTAGAAATTATGACTTTTTAAAACAGAATCATCAGGTAACCTTGTCTTAAACATCTTACTAAATTTGTACTGAATAAAAACCAATTAAGTACAAATGTTACTTTTCATTTTCGAGTAAAAAGCAAACTAAATAAATCTTACTTAATTTTTAAATGCTACCAAGGAATGTTCCTAGGCTTACATGTTATTTTTTTTCATAGTAAACCATGATATACAAAACTATTACCTAAGTATCTCAGACAAAATTATTAAACAGAACCAAATAAAATTACCAATAGTCAACTCTATTTTACCCACAAAAATGTTGATTTCATATGGTTCAACCCAAAACAATAGTGAGACATAGGGTGGGTAAAGGAAATTCCCAACCAGAGGAAATGATAATCTCATTAATTTCTTCATGCAATACTAACTCTATAGAAATGCCTCAATTCATATATTGAGAAATTATAGCACTTTTCTAAAATTTTGCACCTGGCAAACATGTCCACCAAAATTCACAGATGTCTCAGACAATTGGCAATTCTGTAATAATTAACATATTGGAAGTTAGCTAGATTTTACTCTAATTTATTGCAAGTCAAAATGTTTCTCATTTCTTTTTAAAAACACTAATTCATCTAGAACTTCAAGCTACATTAGTCTTTAGCTACAATAGACAGTGAGTGAACTGGTGGAGAGTTTGCTGGTAAATGTTTGAAAATCAGCTCTCAAGAAAACAGAATCATCAGGTGTGTGGGGGTGGGGGGAGGGTAAATTTTACTGATATAAAAGATGTGCAGCACACATGCAAATAATAATAAAATATACCATAGTCTTGCAAATTGCATGTGGCCAGTTGATTCTCATAGAATACTTTTGTTGATTTTTACCAAACTCTTTTATCAGGAGGCAACTATTAGTGGCAACTGACAAACAAACACAGTTAAAACATCCATGTTGAACATCTATTATCACATATGCTAACAAGTAAGACAAAAGCAAAACAATGAGGATGTATGTCAGACTTCATTCATTTGTCAAAGATGTCAGTGACTTTTTTGATAAACTGGACAATAGTTTTTCAATACCAGAAGAATATTTCCTCAATTCCTTGTGCTATTCACATTCTAACAGCAGTTATGGACTGAATGTTTGTATACTCCCAAAATTCATATACTGAAATCCCAGCCTCCAATGTGATGATATTAGGAAGTGGGGCCTTTGGGAGATAAGTAGGTCATAAGTGCAGAGCCTTCTTGAATGGACTTAGTGCTGCTCTGAGAAGAGACAGGAAAAAGATAATCTCTCTCTGCCATGTGAAAATACAGTGAGAAGGTGGCCATCTACAAACCAAGAAGTGAGCCCTTCCCAAGAACCAAATCTGCAGCAACTTGATCTTGGACTTCCCAGCTTCCAGAACTATGAGAAATAAACGTTATTGTTTAAGCCACCCAGTCTATGGTAATTTGTTATGATAGCCAAGCTGACAAAAACACTGGCTATCGATATTACACACTTTTAAGTTAAATCTGTACTATTAGCATTTTATCCATCACTTTTTTAAGCCTAGAAACAATTGACAATAAATAAAGCCCTGATACGTAGCCTCTGCTCATTTCTATGTTGTGAATATGGCCAATTTCAAATTATCAACATGAAGTCACTGAACGAAGAGCTGGGAAGAAATGTACAATGGCATATCATTTTATATTTCTACTGTACAGACATAATATATGTAAATAACCTCGAGATCGTAGGCTATAGTAAAATAAGTAAGAAGTGATGGATTTGGACTATGTATTACCTTTATTTTTAATATAATTATTTAAGTATGTGTTTATATAATTTAATTTTTAATAGTAGCTATGTTTAACAACTGGTTCACAAAATCCCTAATAACAATTGGCTCATATGAGTAGATAAGAGATGGCTCCACTGTCTCCATGACACACCGACCACACTCAGCTTCAAGGAGGGGGCTGTGGGCAGAGCCCAGGTTTGCCCGTCTTCTGTGGTGAGGGGTCAGGTTGGGAGGCCCAGCTCCCCATCTAGTTTTTCAATGCTGCGTCTCGCTCGGGCAGTAGCTCCCATTTCTCATCCCCACATCTATCTTGTCTTAAAAGCCCTGGATTCAGAGCGACCTGTTCTTGGCTGGCATGTGAGGTTTCTGAGTTGTGACTGCGGTCCCTGCCAGCCGGGGGATACCGGCTCCACACTGTGACCATGACCAGGCCTGGAGAGTGCTCAGCCTTACTTATGATACATTTGTAACTGAATACAGCATTTTCAACTTGTACAGAATAGTTAGAATATTCTATTAAAGTTGTGAAAAATGGAAAAAAAAGAGAGAGGGCTCCAGCATAAGAGGTGGCTCCAGCACACCACTGTGAAATAAAAAAATTTCCAATTCTAAAATATCTTCATAAATTTCATCTATTAATTACATAAGTTGCTCTCATAACTAAAGTTGACTGTGTCATTCTGTCTATGTGGCCTATGATAGAAGGCAAGGTGATTTAGTTTATCTGGGTTTCACATGCAGATATTAGAATCTAGCTCTAACTACAACAGACATAAAATTCTGATTTGTTAAAATAGTAGCATCGGTTCTATTTTTAATTTAATTTTTTTTATTTTATTTTTAATTTTATTTTTTTTATTTTATTTAATTCTTTGTTTTAGAAATTTCTTCTAAGAACATTTTATAATGTTAAAAATACTAAGTAGTTAAACGCTAACATATAAAGGTAACTGTATAAACTTTTAAGTTAAGAATAAGTGCCTCTAGAAAACCAAAACTTTGCCATTTGAAAATTTATAATACTGTATCTTGGAGGCACATGAAATTCATTATTATAGAATGTCTCGAAGCCAAATCTTGCCTCCGGATATTTAAAAGGAGTTAGGTAAGCAAACGCCAATAATAACATGTTTTAAAAGGCCTAATCATATTCCATGCTTCAGGGTGTAAGCTGATCAGCTGAAGAGCTGGAAAGGAAAAGAACCGCCTGCCCTTCCTATTTGCTTTCTGCCCAGCATATATAACATTTCATAAGAGAAAAGGGGAATGACAAAAGCAATTTCAACTTTCCTCTGAAGTACAGAGATCTACCCATAGGATAAAGCATTAAGTGGTGAGTGATATCAACTCATTAGTTGTATTCCACATCCAAATACTTTTTTCTAAAACACAAGATACCAGCCTCCAAGACCCATCTGTTCTTAATTTATACTCTGCCTGCACGTCCATAAAATTGAAGCTCACACCATACTGGTAGAAGGCACCCTCATTCTTCTCCTCTTTGCAAATATATCAATATTTAAAAGTAATGCACTTTCTTGCTGCTTTATACTATTACCAACTTCTTCACAATTAAAAAAAAAATCTCCAAACCATGGAATTTCATTTTATGTGAGACAGAGGATAATAAATAAGGCATAAAAGATAGACTTTACTTAAATTGCCATAATTTTAAAAACATGGGTTACTTTTAAAATGAAATATTTGTGACATTAGTTATAATTAACTGTTCATTCTATAACATTTTCAGCCATTAAACAACACCTCTCTTCAAAAATACAATTAAGAAAAAACACAAAATCAAAACATTTCCAATTAGCAGCAATTTTCCAGGTAATGGCAGAAACATCAAATTGTAGTAGGAATGTTCTAAATTAGAGTCTTTCTTTGGTGAATGCTTTTTATACATAGCAATTTTATTTTAATTATTTATTTATAACTGGTTTTGCTTTTTAAAAAATTTATGGCAGCAGTTAAATCAATATATAAATCACTCAATAAAACTGAACTTTTCATTTGGTTTTACTTAAAGAATAAACATTCATTAAGAAACTACAATGACGGAATGGTTCCAAAATATACCAGAGAAAGTTTGCTAATAGGAAGCTTTCTTCCAAATTACCCTTAACTTTAATATTTAGTCAGAAAACCCAATTTCCATAAATGGAGCAGCTGAGTTAGAATTCAGATTATACAATTCACTTAGCCCATCTTTTCTATGACAGCATGTTTTATGTTTTTCTGAAAGTGCAGCTGATGGCAATGAACTAGAAGCTCCCTTATCTACTCATTTCTCTTAATGCTAAAAAAGACTGGGAGTGGGATGGGAGAGACCTACTTCTACCAGCTCAACGTTTATTAAATCTTTCCACCATGCCTCCATTTTTCATACTTCCTGGAAATTAACGTCTCTCCTCTCATACGGCATCCAACCATGAAGTATATTTGAAAAAAGAGACAATAATACAGAAGACAGACACTTTACAGAAAACTCTGGTAAATAAATTAGAATATAAATAAGACACGGTGCCTTTCCTATTGCTATATCATGAGGTTAATATCCCACCATGAATCATTATTCTCACGTCTATCATTATCATATAACAAAAGAATAGATTTTTTTAAGCAGAAAAATAATAGTGAGACATATTTTGATGAATGGTCATTTGTGGGCTGAACACGAGCTCATATATCAAGCAAACACTTCATGATATAAGATTTCAGAGAATTTATCATGTTTTAGTCTGTCCTCCTAATTCTCACAAACTACCATGTCGAAAATATATTCCTCAATGTATTCAACAATCTATGGGTTTGCGGATTCATCTCAAGTATACAGTTGTTTCATCATGGCATTATTATCAAACTACCTCAGTCAATCAGAATAGATTTATAGGGAGTAAGCAAGACATCTTGGCATTTGCATTCTCCGATAACTGCTGAAATCTTTCCAGCAGGACTGCCAGCCTGCCCAACTGGACAAAAAGTGTCATTATGAAATGGCTTTGGCATATGAATTTGAGAAAAGAAGAAATAAGAAGAAAGGTTAAAAAAAAAAACAATGACAAGAGATGGAGTAAAAGTGAGTGAGGCTGGTAAAGAGAGCAGCAGCCAGTCGGCCCCTGCATTACCATTATCAGGGTTGGTAAACATCCTACTTGCACTGGAGACTGTCTTCCCGATGTCAGCCAGGGATCGAAGGTTGGATTTCTTGGTTTGATGCCGGTGCTTCCGGAGCAAAGTATAGGTCACTTTATCCTTAAGGTCGGGTTTCAAAAGGCCTGTCTCAATCTGATGGTCAACAATCATCTCTGATACAAAAAACAAAGCAAAACAAAAACAAAACTCAGTCACAAGACCATGAAGTTAATTTTTTACTCTAACTTTATAGATGTCATCCTTAAATTTAATATCAGTGTACTATTTTCCAAATTTCCAACTTTCTACTTTATGTGAAGGGTAAAGATACAGGGCACAGGGATACTGGCATTAATGAGAGAGTTATGAATATTCCAGTATTAATTATATTTTTGGAGAAGAAGAATTATCTTTTTCATTTTTTTGAAGCCCAGTTAATACTGAATTTACATGAATTACATTCTTCTATGAGTAACATAAGTCAGTAATTTACATTTTTAATTAAGAAAAAAAGATTAGAAAATTTCATGTACTATATTATAGCAAGTATGCCAGAAATATAAATGATATGAAAAAAACTTGAAGAGAATTTTCAAAATTTAAAGTAGTGACTTTACTGGTTTTTTATTAAAATTATCGGGGTGACATTGGTTAATAAAATCAAATAGGTTTCAAGTGTACAATTCAATACTATGTCATATGTATATTGCATGATATGAAAAAAACTTGAAGAGAATTTTCAAAATTGATTTTTTATTAAAATTATCGGGGTGACATTGGCTAATAAAATCAAATAGGTTTCAAGTGTACAATTCAATACTATGTCATATGTATATTGCATTGTGTGTTCACTACCCAAAGTTAAATTTCCTTCGACTACCAAGTATTTGACTCCTTGTACCCTTATCTACTTCCCTCCTCCCGCTTCCCTTTACTCTCGACGTTACTGATTTTTTAATCTATTTTCACAAAGTCTTCTATAATATTGTGTTTTCTTTATAATAGGACCAAATAAAGGAAAACTGTACCTTTCCCCATATTAGCTCTTGTCCCCTACCTAGAACCAGAACAATGCATTCCGTGCCTACATTTTCAGATGTATGGGTGCATCTAGCACATGTCTTGGACAAACTTCTCAGTATACAAAAGTAGAGAAGAAAACAAAAGCTCTTCTTTTTCAAGTCTGACAAGAAAATTGACGGGTGCTGGTAGGATAACAGTATCTCCTAATTATTCCCATCCTTTTGTAAAGAGAAGTTACAAACAGTTAAGGGGCTTTGCTTGGGCATAGCTGCACCGCTCCCAAGTTCGTTTTTATGAAACAAGCACTCACAGAACTGGCCTCACAACTTATGGCTAGAAATTAACAATTTACACAATGTACAATCAACTATTTTGAAGCCAACTAGAGGTTGAATCCAGGAGTTTCTATCCCATGCCTTACACAGGTGCCACAGATGTCACTTAATGCTGGACTACTTGGTAGGGAGCCTGGGCAAGGCGGAAAGAGCTGTTCCCGTGGGAAAGTCTTGGTTTGACAGTGACCGTTAGCTCTGAACATTTTTAACTGATCCTGTAATTATAATTAACTCTCTATTCCACAGTAAAATTATTAGGTGCTACTGATACAACTCCTCTACTTTCCCTTTAAGTATTGTTCAACATGGAAACTCCATTTTACAGAAGAACCACAAAAATAAACAAACAGCCCAAGCATATCTGCTATGCTACCAAACTCCTACTCTAATTCCAGGGTTGTGGATTAAAGTGTTTCTTATCTGCCCTTCCTGGCAGGCCCTCCCTCTGTTCTTGCTCTCCCTTGTAATCTCAAACCAATTCATACATATGCACAGCAGGCCTTCTGTTACTATTGCCTGGAAATCACCAGTTAAAACAGGTTAAAACATCTGCGTGGCTTATGCCCTTCATTAAGTTTCCATAAAAATGGCCCACATTGCAGGGATCTCTTTAAGCATAAACTACAAAACCTTTCAAGGAAAGTGGGGGCAGTAACATTTCACGGCCACACTGAAATTAAGTCTTCAGTGTTCAAAATCCCACAGACGCTACCAATTGGGAATGTGCCAGCTCTAGATGATAGCAGGGCTAAAAGGAACTTCGGGGAGCATCAAGCTCATTCTCTTCTTATACGGCTGAGAAAAGAGAGGTCAAGAGAGGAGACTTACTCATCGATACAAGCTAATTAGATGCACCCCCCACCCCCACCAGGTTTTTTGATTCTTAGTTTAGATCTTTTTCCATATCACACAATATTTTTCTTTCTTTGAAAAGGAAACTCTAAACCAAAAAAAAAAATTTAATATATACAGAACTTATGCAAATCAACAGAAAGATGGCAGTGCAACAGAAAAAAAAGGCCAAAAGTGACATTCTTAAAAGAAATACAAAGACCTAAGATATAGTCAACTTTAAGACTAACAGATGATTTAAACAAATTTATACAAATATAGCCAATTATGAGATATCTGATAATCTATCAAAGGGGCAAAATTTAAAACACGAATCCCCAGTGGTGAAGGATGTGTGCAGCGGGCAATTCCACATGCTGGTGATGACAGCAGTAACCAAAATGATCTTCTGGCCACTTGGCAACCATATAACAAAACCCTTTGAATATTTCACCATTAGAAATCTACGTCAAGGAAATAAGCAATTTTACAAAAGTATACTAAAAATGTTTACTTCTTTACAGTAAAAACCTGAAGATAACTTAAATAGCCAGTAATAGATTATTAAATATTTTATAGCTATTAAAATGTTATAATTACATTTAATGGCATGAAAAGATAATCTATATTATGTTTTTAAGTTTAAAAAGGCAGATTTAAGTGTTATAGTATGATAGCATTTTATAAAATACATTTCATATGCATAAACAGATGTACAGAAAAACTGCTGGGAGGATAGTTCTAAAAGATCAGATTTGTGGTATTTTGATTTATGTGTGTTATATCTTTATGGATTCTTTAAAAATGTACATGTATTAGATTTGTGATAAAAAATAAATATATTACCATTTTGAAAATACAAAAGGTGTAAAAAGCAAGAAACGACTTGACTAACAAGTCTGCCAACAGCCACTATGCCTTTAAATATAAAAATGAGAACTCCAAATATAGAGCTATATTTTCCTAATCCATTTTCCATCATAATAAAATACCTGAAATAACTTATAATTTTTTTAACTTAGATGGGGAAGAATGTCCTATGTGCTTGGCTTCATATGTGAATGATACTCTTTAAATGAGGAATTATAATGATGAGGATAATAATATAACTAATAAATTAATCCACAGAAATGATGGTTTATCCTTTAAATACTTTAAAGATAAATTTTTCTGTTAGCATCAAGAAGAGGTTCTTCACAAAGAAAACAAGAAGAGGTCCTTAGGAGAATCAGAATCAGGCTGAAATTTTTATGCAAGTGTGAGAAGAAACACCTGCTTAAACGGTCACCCACTGGTCATGACGAAGGTACCTCTGCATCTGCAGAGGGAAGAGGCCTCTCAGAGGCAGGCCACTGAGGAGTAGTGAATGGACTGCGAAAAAGGATACAAACCTTACTATTGTTTGTCTGATATAATCACACTAGCTTTCATTACTTTTTTTCCCTCATTTGTTGAGATAAAACTGGTGTGGAGGGGAGATGTATCTTAAGACTTAGCTGTACATAATTCTCAACTCTGAATTATCAGCATGATTCAATTCCACTTCATCTTCTGCTAAAAAAAGATTTTTTAATAACCAAATAATGACAATAACTCCAAGTTACATGACATCTTCTATCATTTAAAATGAAATAGGGGTTTTTTTGTTTGTGTTTTGTGACTCACTGCAAGTTTTAGATTCTTTCAGAGAATTTTTAAGTTATTTCTTTTCAGTCAATGATACTCTCTCAAACATGTCCTTCTTCTGCACTCCTGCAAATCTGGTTCTTCCTTTCTTTTCTTTTCTTTTCTTTTTTTCTTCCTTCCTTCCTTCCTTCCTTCCTTCCTTCCTTCCTTCCTTCCTTCCTTCCTTCCTTCCTTCCTTGCTTCCTCCCTCCCTCCCTCCCTTCCTTCCTTTCTTCCTTCTTTTCTTTCTTTCTTTCTCTTGCTTGTGAATTTCTTTTCTTCTTTATTTGACTCTGAATTGTTTTTCTGTATTATCAACTCCAGAATGACAGCATTGGCTCTCTGCCTGTTTGCCCCAGGGAATGCGGGGCAAACATATTACTGGATGATGATATCTCAAAGTGACCTAGTAGTGTCTAATTTTAAAATTTAATGACAATTTTTAAAGTAAATGCATGGAGGTTACAGAAAAAGTTCATAGCTGGTAATAAAAAATAATGGAAAATTAAAGTGAGAACACAGAACGCTTGGAGAACTTTTCTTAAATGTAATAAACACCAGAACCATTGGCTAACAAGGCTCCAATATAATGTGGGACTCTGTTTTCAACTACATGTAAAGGGTCAATTATTTGCTGAACACCCGAAGTTCATTAAGATAGCTCTTTCTGGTGAAGAAGATCCAAAAGACAGTTTTACAGAAAAGTCCAAGTATATAATTCAACTTTAACTTTCATCACCCTTGTTGACCAGCTCTAGGCACAGCAAAAAAGTTGTTATATTGTCTCCAGCCCATCCACTGCACTCTTCAGGATCTTTTCTCCTGTTTATGAAGTCCCTGAGTATCTCTCTACCTGACTCAGTCTACACTCAGGCCTCTGCTGGGTGACATGTAAGAAGATATGCATAAATTCATTTACAGTAGGATAGTCATGTAAGTATGTAGCAATGACAGCTGTTGTCCTCATTTAATTCTTACAACTCTGAGAAGTCCACCTTTAGCCTGCTGTTAAATCAAGACTGCTAAAGACTTAAGTAACTTGCCTCGTCCATCCCATAGTAATACCCGCTAGCAGGGGTAGACTTAAACTAAACCCCTTCAACTTTAAATCCACTATCCTTTGTACAACACCACTCTGCATCTCATGGAATTAATATATGACCTCTGTCAGACAGTATGTATATTTTAATACAGGACAAGCCCTGGGCTCAGAGAAATGAATCTCCAAATGGTGGAATTTCAGACAGTAACAATGGCCTATGGAAAGACTTTTGTTTTATTTTATTTTTTTTAATTTAGGAACCTTTCTTTGAAGCACAACACATGTTCTCCCCCTAGAGTGCCTATACATTGCCAGGTCACAAGTGTTATTTCCATTTTGCCCTGCATTTATGCATCTGATGTATTTTTTCGATTTGTCTGATTTCAAACATCTTTGGTTCAGATTGGTTCTTAAAGTCTAAGAATTTAGAAACTATAATTCTCACTCAAGAACTGGATTGATTTTTGCTAACCATGATATTTTTTTAGATAACAATCTCTCTTGCAGCCTTTAACAAATGAAAAAAAAAAAAAAAAAAAGTCAGTGCAACAAACCACCCAGAAAATGATTCCTTCCGTTTACTCCTGTCTTTACAGATTGGCTCCACTTTCCCGCGGTACAATAATCCAAGATCTCTCGTCATATATCAAATGTCTGTTTCAGCTCACCTGTGCTGTCAAATATGAAAAAGTCACACAGAAAAGTATTCCTATATTATCTTCTAACTATCAATGTGGATATGCATTTGTAATTTATCCCATTTACAAAGTGATAGATTTGCAAATCTAATTCCAGGGCCTGGAACAGCATCTGGCACATCGTAGAAGCCTACACACTACTGATAAATAAATGATTAATTCTGTCCACCCAGAATCCTCACATTAGTCATTCTTCCTTCTCCATCTGCACCTTAAGTACCTCAGATGCATGAAAGTATGGGGCTTCTTTGTAAATCTAATAAGGCCTCTGAAGAAGAATCAGATATATATACATCAGCTAGATATATGCCTCATCTGACAACTAATATTTTCTTTCAATATATATACTATAGCCTTCTCATTGTCTATAAAGACACAGATGCCACAGACAAGACTTTTGTCTACAGATAATCAGAGAAATTACACAGGTATGAAGTTACACTGGTCACTTTCTGGGAAGCCACAAGCCACATCTTCTTCCCCACAATCCCAACGTGGGCACCCCACAGACCCCTTGGAAAAGTGCAGTCATCTAAACAAGTCCAGTGGTCACCTGGCTATGGAGTTTTCCTAGGAATAACAAGCAGAGCCCCTGTACCCGTTTTTGAGGATGTGCTCAATGAACAACCCATCTGGGCTATCGTTTAGCACACCTAGATCTGAAGGAAGGGTAATAAGGCAGTTTATAGCAGGCTCTCGTTAGAAAATAAAATCAATTACTACTCTTTGGAAGGTGGTGATGTGTGCCCAAGGTGTTCAATATGATGACGTAACATTTACTACACAACACTATACAACACTATTTGGCAAAGGATGCCAAAGCTGCCCTGCACCACGAGGTTCAGGTACAACCTGCGGGTGGTTGTACAAACAATACTCAGCACCAACGTGACCCAACTTGGTGACCAAGCCACAAGGTTCTTTCTGGCTTCTGCCCCATATAACTTTTCTCTACATACAGTTAAAGAAATTTGACTTCCATCTACAAAATCAGCCCTAATCCAGGAACTAGACTATTTTCCTTCCTGTATAATGTCTGAGATCAAAGAGTTCTAGAATCTGGTGTCCAGACTTGCAGTCTGATAGAACCAAGGATGAGTGGAGAGGGTGAAACTCCATTCAAAATATTAATCCTATGTTCGTAAGTGAAAGAAATGAATGCAAATCTGTATACATACAATATGATCCCAATTTTAATTTTAAAAAAATAACAATGAAAAGTATAAGAGAGAAGATTAAGAAACAAAATTGGATGGAAATACATCTGCAATAAACCTTACTAGTTTTATAACATAAAGAGAGAATAAATGTTCTAGAATATTCAACTCTGCTTACACTAAAAGTCAGCTGCATTGATGAAGATTCATGGATAGGTAGGAAAAAACTGATAAAATGATAGGAACTTAAAACAACATACTTACCCACCAACTGTGGGAGAGAAGAAGCCTCCCTGTCAAGCATGATGGATCCTTTCTCCATACATGTCCTCAGCTCAAATAAGCTGTGAAGGGATAATGTGGCCACGTGGGGCTTGCTCCATCTCTCCCCACCCTGTTCCACTTTTTCTTCAAACTTAATCCACCTAGGAATATGAGATTAGTGAATAGCAATTAAAAAGTGTTCTAACCTCCTTAGAAATAGCAACATCAACCCCTCTGTCTCCACTCCCACTAGTAATTACAAAATGTCTCTTTTCATGGAAACTTAAAAGCTTATTATATCTTTAATTGTGTTACTTTTATAAACACACCAGAGTCACTAGAGTGCTCCTTCCCTTAATGTTAGAAAGAAAGAAAATAAACCGAAAGGAACCAAAGCATTCTTGGTTTTATATCTATTTACATGTAACCACAAAATCCTTAAGAATGATTATTTAAAAGTTTTAAATAAGGTAGAAAAAAACATACATTACAAAATTCTCCATCTAGTTAGAGCCTACAATGTGTTAAAATAGCCACCATTGTGAGAATTCTGTCGTGACTTTACAAGGCAAGTTTATATAAGGTAAAATATCAATGATAAATGAATATTTATCTTAAATATTTGAAAGAGATGGTATGTGAAGTGGTCAGATGCATATAATATTTCCCTTTAATGCCTACAGAGGGCCAACATGTATCTCTATGTCTTATTTTAATATATATTTTTTTCAGTTGACCCATATTCCCCCCTTAAAGTCTGGATCCACATGTGTTTAAAAATATGCAAGCTCAATGAACACATCTATTCTGATAATAACAGATCTCCTATTAACCTCAGCAATGGAACAAACAATCCACTTTCATAGCTTCTCTTTTCTAAGACTCCTAGACATTTTGATAGCTTAGCAATATTTATCAATTTTTAAAAGTTTAATAGAAGTAGGAGTAAAACACATTTGACAGTTTTTATGTCCCACATATTACACATTTAGAATCTTCCGACACTGGTTTAAAAAAAAGAAAAAAGAAAAACAGGAAAGCATCATTATTTTGCTATTCATCATGACCCAAAGAAAAACACTTTTTTCTCTCACTTCAAACCTTCTGAAAGATATTGAAAAAGATAAAGATAGGGGTTTAAAAAAAATTGTTTTTCTCCATTCTTCACCCAAAGGTTTAATGATTGAAAAATGTTTTCCTAGAAAAGCTAAATGCTCACCTAGCCCACTAAAGATGAGAACAAAGGGCAGGGATCAGAGTAAGTTCTACATAAGGTATTATTTATAGGCTGTTCACCACCCCCAGAGGAGGGAAGAAAAAAATACATTAGCAGAACCAGAAGTGAAAATAGATCAAGAGATCAGCCATAGTGTCAAAGAAAATTTAGACTTTAAATCAAGCCCAACAATTCATGTGATTCAGAAATATTTTAGCCATATTCAAAGAGTCTCCATCTATGATCTCTCTCAGGAAGCCTCTCCCAACCAGGAAACTCCCACGTGTCAATGCAACTTTATTCCCAACCTCACCCCCAATCCTAAAACCCTCCCCCTTTCTCCTATATCCCCCAAAATGTAGGCAGTGGAGATTTATACATGTTTTCCTCTCAAGTTAAAAAAGACAACATCACCACCAACGTTTTAAAACTTTAGAACTGCATCTTGCTTATTTCTACAAAGTGGTTGCAAAACATTCCAAGAAAGAAAGACCCTTAATATTCATCTGTGTGTGTGTCGTGTGTGTGTGCGTGTGTTGTGTGTGTGTGTATAAATTAATAATTCTCCATTTGGAGGTATTAGAACCACAGAAATAGAAGTGGGAGAAAAATGACAGTTTTATATCACACTCTTATAGAATTGTATGGATATCTCAAAACAATAAAAGGAAATCGGAGTTATTTTGAGAGTAACCATTTTATGGAGTATATTATATTGATTAACTTCAGGTATATTATCGTTTCATGCTTGCTCACAGAATCCCTAACCATGTTTTTGGTAATTGGTATTTGAATCATATTTACATTTCATATTTTAATTTATTGTTTGAGACTCTAGAAGACAGAAGATTCTATACTATGTGAAACTAAGACAGGGTTACATATAATTATGTCACCTATAAAGAGTGTAGGGACTCCTTGTTTTTATTCCTGAGAGTATTCTTATTAGTTGAAGGACAGACTCTTTGGTAATAAAATTTAAGTCCAAGATGAATGACAAGAACCAGCTGGAAACTCAGCAAAGGGTAGTGTGTTACACAGCCTTCACTTCTTGCTTGTCTTTACTAAATGAATCCCTCTTTCTATCAGTTGCCATAAATCTGTATTGCCAAATCCATTTCTTAAAAGAAAACTAAGCCTCACTTACAAACAGTATGTGACAGTGGCTCTTTTCTGCCATTATTCTCAACTGTCCAAACAATATGTTTAATAATTTTTTTTACTACTGCATTCTTTTCTTTTTTTAGTTTCAAGTATACAGTACATTGTTTAGATATTTATATAGTTTATGGAACGATCCCCCTGACTGCTCTTTTTCTCCTCTGGCTCTGCACATAGCCATTACATTACTGCTGACTGCATTCCTTATGCCATGCTCCCCATCCCTGTGACCAACTACCCTGTGACCAACTATTTAAAAGGAGCAAAACCACTGCATTCTCGTGTGATAGATCTTTTATTTCATTCCTCTCCATAGTTTATATTTTAGGCAACTGGACTTCTATATGACTTTGAACAAACAAATTTTAAAAGTACATTTAGAACTCATAAATCTTAACTAGCTCAGATTTCTAGAATAGCATTACTCACTCTCATGGAACACACCAGCTCTTTAGGTCAAGATTTAACAATAAAGAAATTAAAATGTAGTTTCAAAACTAGCCAGTTCCTTAGAATTCACATCCCTAAGGGATAAGTATTATCTCATAGTTCAGTTTAGTATCTCTTTTAATCTGAGTTCAGCAAATATTCAATGTTGTAATGATGTCACATCACAGCACAGATAACATAGCATAAGAGATACTCTGAAATAATGACTTCAATTCCTCTAAAATGTATTGCTCTAATTGTTTAAGGAACTCATTATACTTCAAACATATTCTTTCAGGCATAAAGTAATGATTTGCCCATTTAAACAGATTATTTGCAGGTAGTTTCATTCCAGAAACTATACATGCTATGTCTATCCTCTTCACGTATCAAGGACAAATTTGAAAAAAAAAACAAACTGAAAGCTATGCAACTCAAATCAGAATCCATTAAAGAAAAGGCTAAGACCAAGGTACCAAAGTTCAGCCTATCTGAGTGACAGTGAATTTGTAAAGGTGCTTCAGAACCGTGTAATTACATTAAAAAAAAAAACAACAGACATTCTTACTGTAAAATGTACTAAAAGCCACTCTCTACTCTTCATAATAACTATGAATAACCATATATTTGCAATAAGTTTCCTACTTTTCCTTCTGCTTGGTACTTGACATGTTACAGGAAAATTAATTTCACAAGTTGGCTTTTTAAATGCTTGCAATTACAAAACTGTTGTAACCTTGGAAGAAGAGTTTATTAGGTGAAGTTTATTTATTCCAAGGTCTTAGAAGAATAATGATAAAGTACACTGCAGTTTAACACACTTTGAGTAACTGCCAACCAAACAGTATTTCAACTAGTTTGTTGAAGAAATAGAAGACCCACTGGGAATCACTGAATTTTGCAATTTTCCAATCATATGATTAAATATAATTAAGAAAAGACAAGACCTCTAACTTAAAAACACGCCAATTTTACTGTGGAAAATAGATATTACCTTTGCCCTAGATTATAATTCAACTTCATAAAACTATTAAAATGATAATAAAATTTCTTGTTAATTAATAAGTACCTCATCATACATAAAAAAGAAGCCAGTGCTAGTGTATATCTGGGATAAATGATGTTTTTCAGGAGAAGTCCTAAATTTCTAGATCAACTGTGAAAGTTCTTGCTAAAATTACATGTATGTTTTTATCAAAGTTATATAAAGTTATATGTATGTTGTAACTATATATAATTACATAAATGATTAAATTCCTTTTCCTTTAGCTTTTTTCTTACAGAAAAAATAAACTTGGTCTGAAATGAAACTTTCCAAAGTAATCCAGTAGAGAAAAGATAGAGAAGTCAATGTAGATTGGGAAGAGAGCGGTCCCTTTCCAAACCCCCAGGGTAAGTGCACATGTCTGTGTTTGATGGCCCGGCCCTGAAACCAGGTTCTCCAGAGGTATGTCTGATCAGTCTGCAGAGCAGAAAGACAAATGGATGTTCCTTTGTGCAGTCCAACTAGAAGCGAAACATCAATACCCTTTTCTTTTATTGGCTTGCTGTGTTTACTGAAACTTATGATGACTTTCCTTGTCGGGCAGTAAAATTTGAATCACTTTGGGGGAGTGGTCTTTAAGATATAGACTTATAACAGTTTACCACTTCCAACATTGCCCATCTGAACAGTCGCTGAAGGGAAAGTGAAAGCCAATAATCATTTTTCTAGAGACATCACTGACTGAAAGAAAGAGTTCAGGCATAGCGAGGGATAATAGTAGACCTTCTTGCAGGCTTTGGGCCATCACCAAAGCTAGACCATGACATATTCTTTTACCATTTTGCTTCATGTATCCATTAAGTAATGCCTAGCCACCTAGAAATTCTTATTGAGGAATACAGGCTTCTTCCCTAATGCCAACTATTCCATTTTAATTACTTCTACATTACTGAATGTCAGTGTTCTAATGACCTAACAGTAAGAAATATTCTTTAAAACAGAGTGTTCTCTGCATTTCACTGACCATATGCACTTCTCAGGTCTGATCATTCCATTCATTGCACTGTCTTCAACTCATGCTCTATGTTGGGAGAGGGAGTGAAAATTCAAAGTTCTAACTTTTAGGAAAGGGAAGAACAGAGAAAAGAAGTGAAAAGAGGGTGATGCGCTGGCTGTACTTCAAAATTCACATAAATAAAGGCTTCCTTTGTTCATACTTTTCATGACTACTGTGCTTTTCAAGACTTAAATGGGGATATTTTTCCTACTACGGAAACCATTCTCCTTATTTTTTGAGATAAAGAGTTAACCTGAACTTCCTGAAGTAGGACTGAACTGCAGTAATGCTGAGACTTGATGTAGGATATTCGTGAAATCAAATCATTAGTCAACTAAAAAATATAGAACATTAAAAGGGAGAGTTTAAAAGCAGTAGGGTTGTGTTCTGTAGAGTTGTGAGCTCAGTAAAAACTACATTAAGCTGGAAAAGTCTGGAGGGCTAGTTCTTTATGAAATAAAATAGTCTGTCAATTTGGGGTTTCATAAAAAAAGCAAAAAATTCTCAATTTTATAAGTTAGCCAGAAGAATATTGATGCTGCATTTTTCATATATAAAATGAATCCCTTCTAAGCACTACACTTTTATTAGTCTGGTAGATTTGAGAGCTTTTTGTGGGGGTGAGGGGAACTCTATCACGTCTGAAAACTAGACATCATAAATGGCAGTCAGAAATTACTGCAAAAACTTTCTGAAGCAGAGTAGTTGCAGGAAGTAAAAATTATTGAAAATCTGAATCATTTCAGGAGGCACAATCACCTCCAAATCTCCCAAAGGGATTTAGGTGGAACAGTAAACTAAGAATCAAGGTTTTATTTCCCCATTCATTCTATTAACACATATTTCTTTTTTTTTCTGAAAAGTTTTATGAGTTTATTTGAGCCAAACTAACAACATATTCCAGGGAGCAAGATCTCAAATGCTCCTCACACGTATTTTTTTATTGTAGACTGTGTCCCAGGTAGTTATAGGCACTAGGACTAGAATAGTGAGTAAAAAAATCCACAAAAATTCCTGCCCTCATGGAGCTTTGACTTTATTGGGAAGAGATAATAAGATACGTAATGTGCTAAATGTTGATAAGAGCTAAGGACAAAAATTATAGAGGATGGGGGACAGGGAGTGTCAGGAGACGGTTTTCATTTTAGAAAAGTCAGCCATTGAGAAGGTCATATGTGAATAAAGACCTGAAGAAGGTGAGAAAATGAGCCATGAGGTACTGTGGGGATGTGGCAGGGAGAGCATTTCAGACAGAGGGAATAGCAAGTCCAAAGTCTACTCAGAAAGACTACTTAACTACATGACTTGCCCAAAGTTAAACAGCTGACACAGTACCATGACTGGCCAGAGAGTCTCAAGCAGAGTGGACACAAGGGAGAGAAGTAGGAGATGAGGTCAGAGATCATGGTGGATAGTTCATGAGGAAGATAAGGGTAGGGCTTCAGGGAGGTAGAATAATTAAGAAGTATTTGCAATAATCTAGGTGAGAGATAATGGTGGTTTGGACCAGGGTTGTGGCAGTGCTGAATGTAAGGCATGATGAAATTCTGAATATATGAATATCTTTGAGGGCAAAATAGGTATGATTTGCCAGTAGATCAGGTAAGGGATGCAGAAAAAGACAGAAGGGAAGGAAGATTCCAATGTCTCTGGCTTGAGCAACTAGAAAAATGGAATCGTGTATTGTGGTGGGGAGGGAACTCTAGGAGGAGCATTTCTGAGGTGGATAAATCAGAGACTCAGTTCTAGACATATTATTTTGAGATGATTATGAGCCATCAAATTATTTGTTTTCTATCAAATAAGGCAAGAAATTTGGGCTAAAGAACTAAATGCAGATGGCATCAGCATATTGATGAACTAGTTTGAAACATCAAACATAGGTCCTCTTTTGAGCTGTATCAATGATGTACTGGGTATCTTGGGTCTGTCATTCAGATGTCCATCAATCAGAAGGAGATAGATTATTATAGAATTCCAACTTTGGTGAAGTAATATTTCAAGAAAGTATTATATGTAGAATAGCTGTTTCTAAGGCAATCAGTTCTCAACTATTAAGCACCTATTATGTACCAAGCACAGCAGGGCACTGGTAATATAGTAGTCAAAGACAGACATGGTAGTCCTTGTCTTCAGAGGAATTAGTGTAATGAGGGAGACAAAATGAAAATAATAATATCGTATATATGATTAATTAATTAATAGTAATTGTGGCAAGTTCTACTAGGAGAAGTTAGAATGTAGACTATCTGTAAGTGTGTTTCTTCCTGGACAGCTTTCCCCCGACACAAGGCATAATCCCACCACACTTCTCCAGCATTACAGTCTCTTAGGGTGCAATGACATCACCAAAATGACTCATATGTTCACAAGGAAATAAAGTCTTTAAGGATGGTGAAGTATTCAAGACTATATTACTCTTTAAGAGTCTTAAAGGAAAATACTATGTTCACCTCTTTTAACATTGAATTAAAATGTGAACTGTGATCTGTCTACTTTTCTGGGACCAGGGGTCATATAAAATAAAGTGTAATCTTTATTTGACTGAAAGAAAAACAGAATGCTACACCTAAATTCTACTTTATATAGATGCTTGCACAGAATTTTAAGATAAAAATAAGAATCAAAGTAAGTATCCTAGTCACAGCTGACTACACAAGTATACATAAAGGGATGGAATTTTAGAGCTATAAGATATGCATGATGTTAGAGAGGATGCAACCCAATATGATTGCATTTTATAGAATAGAAAACTCAAACTCAGAAAGACTACATAACTACATGACTTGCCCAAAGTTAAACAGCTAGTTAGCAGCAAAGCCAAGATGAGACCAAAATCTCCCAACGCTTAATTCAGGCTGTACCAGTACAACTCTCACTGTTTTGTTTTGTTTTTGTTTTTGTTTCCTTTAGAAAGAAGGAAAAGAAAGAATGAAATTAAAATACTAGTAAAAGCTTTCACTTCAAATCTTTCTTTTGGAGGATATTTTATGAACTAAAAGTGTGTTTTATGGAAAACTTTTAATATCCAGGTTATCGGTGCTGAGACAGGGAATAAGAGACAATCACTATATCACAGAAAGAGATCCTAAAAGAGCAAAGAATGAAAATATTCACTTTTATATTCCTAGTACCTAAAACAGTACTCGACATATACCATGCATTCAAAAATCACTGGTCCAATTTAATTGATTTGAATTAAATTACAGACTATATAAAGCATATCTTAACATTATCTTGTCTGTGAAAGTGAATTACATTGAATCTCCATGCAATGATGACAATGAGAGGCCAATAACTACATCATATCAAAGTCTTTATATGATGTTATATGTCACAGAAGATTTAGTATAGAATATATAACTAATATATATATATGCGTATATATGTATATATAGAAAGAAAGGCTTTGTTAGTGTGAGATTAACAAAATCTTAGATATTTAGGTAGTGATTAACAATTTATAAAGTCTTTCCATATACACATACATGTATATATGTAATATAATTTGACATATGTAATATTATATTTTCACATATTACATATCTTATGTAGCATGCATATATATTATATGTAGTAGGCATTATTACTCACTCTATCGATGATGAAATCAAAGTTCTGAGAAACTGAGTGCTATGCAGCTAACAGGCAACAATCTGAAATTGAGCTCAGGTCTCTAAATTCCAAATTCAGGTGAACGTTCTACTTACTTTCACCCAATATTTAAATGATAACAGATTTTTACTTAAATAATAGCAAGTTTGGGGCACCAGTCATTGTCTTTGCAACTGCCCTCGTCACAGGGCATGAATAATAAAACAGACATGATCTCACAAGATACCGTGGCATGTGGAAACTGTGGAAACACATTTCTAGGCTATCTTGTTTGAATTGAGTTTATCTTCAACATATTTCGATATTAAACAGCATATGAATAGAGATTTACTACTAATTCCTTATAAAGGTTAAAATTACAACAACATAGATCAATGAAATTGTTCCAGTAGTGAAATAAAGGGTGTCTTGTATCTCTGTCAATGTAAAAGAGAAGAAAAAGAAGTGTTTTACTCTTTAACCCAGCCAACATGATGCTCATCGATTTTCAAAGTGCTAAGGTTAGAGAAAGGTGCTCACTCACAGACTCGACCACCTTGCCCCACACCTGTTTCTCCAGGTCAGACTGCACACAGTCAGCCATGCCTCACCTTGCTGTCTCCTTCCACTCCATCTCCTGCCCATCCACAGCCAGCAGCTCATCCAGTTCGGTGAAGAGCTGAGGGGGTGCTGGGCTGTCATCCTCCTCACCCAAGATGAATCGTATGCGCTCTGCGGCAGGAGAGACTGCAGAAGTGAAAATACTGCGATTAAACACTGGCTGCACAACCCTGAGGAAAGTGTTGCTCCGAGCTCTTCCTCTGTCCCCAAAGCTGTTGGGCTTCGCTTCCATGTTTTCAGTGGACATCATTTTTGCTGAACCTCCCTTCTCCCCAACTTAAAGACATAAAGAAGTCAAAGCCCTTCTCTCTTCCTTCAGTGAACCGTATCTCAGCTCTCCACCACTCTGGAAGGACAGCACTCCAGTTCTGTGTGGTGTATGACAAAGAACCTTTAGCCCTCAGATGAGCTGAGATCCAACCATATGACTTTCTCTCTTTCCCCACTTATGATCCATCCAAAATTATTAGACAGAGACTAGCTCGAGCCAATCACTTTTTCAACAGCTAGGATGGGGCAAGAGAGCACCCTAATCCTGAGTTTCCTGTAGGCACCTGCCTCCCAACCACCCTCTCTCTGTCCAATAGCTAATGCCCATGCCCTCACAGGCTCCCCACTGTCCATAACTGGCTAACTACAAAGTTGATCAAGAAATATTTAACAAGATGGGGCCTCTTCTTTACATAAGTACCCAGAAATGTTTAGTCGCACTTCAATGCACTTGAAAAACAAGCCCAAGTAAAATATTGTACACCTGAGGGAAAAAAATTGTTCAACACACTCAAGCACATAATTGAATGCCCTACTAGCTCCTTTTGACCCCATCTCCTGAAAATAATGTAATGAAAAATTAACTAGCATCTCCTCCAAATTGTAGGTTATTTTCCAAGTTTGTTTTTTGTTTTGTTTTGTTTTTAAACTGATAGTCATGTTACAAAACTAAGGCCCACAGATAGTCTTTATAATCCCCGGGTAAAACTAAGAACTGTGTATACATGTGAATGAAGTCCAAGTATGCATATAAATATGTACTAGAACAACCTAAAAAATAAAATAAAATCTTTCCTTCTAAAATTATTAAAATAAAGGACAAGAGTAAAATTTCATAGATAAAAATATATTTACTACAAATAAACGTATAAAAAATATTCAACCTAACTAGTAATCAAAACTAATTATTAAAAATAAGATACATGTTTTACCTTTTGAAATGGCAAAATTAGAAAGAATGATAATGTCCAATGTCAGCAAGAGTTTAGGAAATTTATGTCACTAGTGGCCTAAATGGAAATATTTGGAAGAGTATGGAAATGTTTTAAAAGTATATGTATCCCAATTGTACACTTGAAACTTTCTAGCTCACAGGATACATGTACTTTTATTTTAATTAATTGATTGATTGATTATTTTAATTAAAATAAAAGTACATGTATCCTGTGAGCCAGAAAGTCTATCGCTAGACATTCATTTCAAATAAAAATCATTGTTATCTCAAAGACTTATCTACAGAAGTAACCATGCAGCACTGTTTTTAACTGTGAAAAACAGAAAAAGTCTAAATGCCCAAAAAGGAGGATTGGTTAAATAAACTATAGTATAGCTATCCAATAAAATACCATGTAGTCATAAAACATGAAATTTAGATTATTAGTTTTTTACACATATGCCATATAATATTAAATAAACAAATAAAATTGCAAAATCATATGCATAAAGTGATTCCACTTCAGTAAAGAGAAAACACACATATATGTAAAGTAGTCTGGAACTGAGGGAGCCCCCACTTTGCATGGTTCCAATGTGCATGAATTTCAGTTACCACAGTTTAGTTAAATAATACTAGTCCCCTGTCAACATGGTACAAATTTTAGTTAGCATAGTATATTAACTGTGAGTAACTGCATAAAGTACAAACCTCACCATTAAATGTTTAGTCCACAATTACCATGTAAATAACATATATGCATCATGATCAGTGATCAATTGGAGTAAATCTTTCGAAGTCTGTCAGTGATCGGTTACTACACATTTGTTATCCAGTTCATGTACAGACAGCAAAGTGTGTAGTTGTGTTGCCTTACTATATCTCAATAGTAAACTCAGAGGACATGGATAACCAAAAGTGAGAGTTGCAGCCAAGAAAAATGAAAGTATGGTACAGAAACAAAAAGTGATGACACTGGAAGTAAAATCTGCAGTCAAATGTAAATAGAGTTATAGAAGACCTAGCTGATCATGGAAATGTAGACAATGCTGCCACTGGTCATTTGGAAGACTCTAGCTAAATAGTGGAGGAACTTAGTGAAGGCGTACATATTAACACAAATAAGTAGTTATACCAAAATGATAACAATATCCCAGAAAATGATGCTAACAAAAAGAAAAAAAAAACTTCACATTAAAGGAATTCTTGAAGACATTTCTTGACATAGAAAGCACAAAGCATAAAATGTTGGAAGCTGATCCAAACTTTAGGGAGGAGTATGACAGTTTGGGCATAGAGAAGATGCTCACTCCATTTTATTAGTGGTAAATTAAATAACAAGAAGGCACGCACTATTCAAACTACTTCTGATGAGATTTTACAAAGGAATCAATTTCTTTAACTCTAATATCTCTAATGTTTTAAATTACAGTATACTAAATAAATATTAGTTTTATTATTTTTTTCATTTCCCTTTGCCTTTATAGCCAACAATAAGAAAGATTTTAATGATTTGGCAAAATTTTTTAAAGGTCAAAGAACAATAATAACTTTTCCTACTGATTAGGATTGTTTTTGCATAACTTCATCTGGCACGATAATTTTTATGGTTCCATAAAAATTTTTATGGAACTACCATGCAAAGCAAGGACTGCCTGTATATACACCTTTAAGTGTTTATTTCTAGGGCTTCTATTTTCTTCCTTTTGTTTTTCTACTGGTTCTTAAGTATGCAGAATTCATTCATATATTCATTCAGCAATATTTATTGAGTACTACCTATGCTCTAAATAGGCTTTGCTTCAGGCTCTGAAGATAAAGCAAAGAAAAATGACAAAAAGATCACTATTATCAAGTTTATATGCTAGAAGAAGAAACAAACATTAATTGATTAATTAATCAGTTAAGAGAAAAAATAAATCAGTACATAAACCAACAAACAAAAATATCTGTGAATTGTGCCTGAAAACATTAACATAAGGTAACTGAATAGATATTAATACATGGTACAATGTGCTTTACTTCTGCAATTAGAAAAAAATGGCTTTAAAATTTCTTAATATATCTGGGAGAAAAATAATCTCAAGCACTAAGACTTTGGGTAAAAACATTTGCAATGCCTTTCCAGTCAAGAAATAGAATGTGCAGTTATTTTAGAGGATCAGGGAGGGCATGAAAAAAAATGATGGGAGGGTTAGAAATGATAGGCAGAATTCAGAACCTAGATAATACTTCTAAGGAGTATAGTGTTCGCACTACTAAAAATGCAGTTAGTGAGTATGGTGGTTCTGAAACTGATAACCACAAATTTAATTAACTTTTCATCAACGTTCAACATCAAAGACCCCTGAGTTAGAACTAGCTTTTAGAAGAGAAGAGTCTTCATTAAGAGAACTGACTTTCTGTCTGTTTCTAAAAGATGTGATGTGGGTTTATCCCCACCTCTAACAGAGAAAAATAAATGTTTCTCCTGCTTAAATAACAGAATCTCCTGCACTGACAACACACACCTCTGCTTGGCTCAAATCCACAGAGCATTACTCTGTAATCTAGCATGCTCAAATTAGAAAAACACAACTCACTGCTTATCGGAAAGCAACTCAGCTGGAACTTCTGCAAAATGGAATGGGAAAAGGATGCAATGTGGATGAATCTTTGAGATTATCATATGAAGCAAAATAAGTCAGATAGAAAAAGCTGAAAACCATATGATTTCACTCAGATGTGAGATATAAAAATAAAAGTAAGAAACAAACATGACAAACAAAGACACGTAGACACAGACAGTGGATTAGTGGTTACCAGAGGGAATGGAGGATGGGAGAGGTAAGTAGGAGTAATAGGGGTCAAATATTTGGTGGCAGAAGGAAGTTTAACTTTGGTTAGTGAATACACAACGCAATACACATATGATATATTACTGAATTGTACACTTGAAATCTATTTGATTTTATTAACCAATGGCACTCCAATAGTTTTAATTTTTAATAAAAGGAAAAAAAAGAAAAAGGATGCAACATTACCTCCAGGTCATCCTCTCTAGGCACTATGTCTAAGTACTTTTCATAAGTTGTCTTATTTATTAAATATAGCCTCTGAGCAACCAGTATAACAATTCCTTTGGGATAAAACTCCAAAATCATGTGTAATAAAGTAGCTTTCTACTCTTTTAAGTTTCCTTCCTCAAGGGCTTCCCTAAACCTCCCCAGGAATTAAGAGGCCCTAGCAATTGTATTATAACTATCAACCAGTGGGAGGGGCATCCTCTGTGGCCAGCAAATACCCTTTCCAATTTCTAACATCATTCTTAACACAAAGATATACAGAGTGAGAGTCCAGAAATCACTTTTTTCCCATAACTCTTGATCAAGTGCTTAAACACAAGACACGGTCCTGCACGGAGATTAGGAGTATAGTCTCTGGAGCCAAACTGCCAGGATTTGAATCCAAACTCCACTACTTATTTGTCGTGTGACCTAAGACAAATTAATTAATTAGTTTATTAATTAATTAATCTTTCTGTGTCTCAAGTTTCTTGCCTAAAAAATGGGATGATAATGATTGTCATTATAGTATCTAAAATACAAGGCAAAACCTGCCTCACTTCTAAAAAAGAAAGCTCTCACAGATATTCGCTTTGAGAGCCTCTCTATATTAAAAATATATAAGGTAGGAAAGAAAAAGCCAACAGTTCTGCATGTGTTACTTCAGCAAATTAGGTAGCTTCAGTAATGAGACACAAAGATTACCTACAACCAGGAAAACAAACAATAAAATAACAAGGGGAAAATAATGAAACCTTTTTAGCTTCACTTTAATACCTGAGGCCTGGGGTGGAGAGGGGCATCAGAAAATCAACTTGTATTACAGATGAACAGATTATGATCCTAAGTAATAACTACCTAGTTTCATCATAAAAGAG